TGTAATTTCTCTCTGTGTCCTTGATAATTTGTTTTGCTCTGAAGTCTGCTTTAACTGATATTAATATAGCTATTCCTACTTTCTTATGATTAATATTTGCATGGTGTATCTTTTTGATACATGTTAGGAATTAGGTTACCATTTTATATTTTGTTTTCTATTTGTTCCTTAGAATTCCATTATAATTTAGCTATGATTTCTTGTTTATGTATTTTTTTTAGTGGTTGCTGTACATAACATCACAATCTACGGTGTCAGTGTTTTACAAGTTTGAATGAAGTATAGAAAACTTACCTCACTTTAAATTTCTTTGCCTTACCTGGCTTAAGTACTTCTACATCTATTTAGAACCACATCAGGGTCACAATATTTGCTTCAATCTACCAAACATGATTTTAAAACTATTTAATAAAAAGATAGTCTTGCTTTGGGAGGCCAAGACGGGCAGATTGCATGAGTCCATGAGTTCGAGACCAGCCTGGGAAACACAGGGAAATTCTGACTCTACCAAAAATAGAAAAATTAGCCGGGCCTGGTGGCTGGCGCCTGTGGTCCCAGCTACTCACTGGGCTGAGAAGGGAGGATTGTTTGAGCCCAGAAGGTTGAGGCTACAGTGAGGCAAGATCGCACAACTGGACTTCTATCCAGGCAACAGAGCCAGACACTATCTCAAGAAAAAATAAAAACATATTCTTTTATATTCATCTCCCATTTTATCCATTCTATTGATCTCTTCCTTTCTGAAATTCCAAACCCCCTGTTATCATTTACTTTCAGTTTAGAGAGGTTTCTTTGACTATTTTTTAGGGTAGGGCTGCTAGTGACAAGTTCCCTTAACTTTTTCTTATTTGGGAATGTTTTTCTTTCCCTGTTTATTCCTAGAGAACTTTTTTTTTTTTTTTGCTAGATATAGAATTTGGATTTAATAGTTCTTTATTTTGGCATTCGAAACATGTTATGATATTTCTTTTTTGCTTCCATGGTTTCAGATGACAAATCCCATCAACCAAACCATTGTTTCACCACCGGTGGTGTATTGTTTCTAAATGCTCACTTGATTTTTTCTGTCTTTAGATATTAGTTTTAGTTTGATTATACTTTATCTTGGCATGGATTTCTTTGGATTTATCTTATTTTGGGTTAATTCAAGATCTTGAATTGTAGATTTACGTATTCTGTCACATTTGGGATATTTTTCAGGTATCATTCCTTCAAATATTTTTTTTTCAGTTCCACACTCTTCCTCTCCTTGAGGACTCTGATGACATGAACATTTGATCTCTTTATGTCCCACAGATATCTGTGGCTCTGTTCATTTTTTTCAGTCTATTTTCCTGTTTATAGGTTGGGTAATTCTATAGATCTGTCTTATTTTTCCTCTGTGAAAAAGTGCCCAGAAATCTTACTCTCACCTCAGGAGAGAAGTCAAACTTTTGAATGAATATGCACTTGGGATTGAGTATCAGTGGCTGGTGAAATCTAAATCTCATTTAATTTATTTAAGGCAAAAATGTATTCAAAACACTAGAATCTGAATGTACACAGACATGCATGTGCATGGTTTACATAGCTACGTAATATGAGTAGAAGTCAGCTTTGAGAATATCATCAGGATTAGCATGAGATGGGGTAGAGATGTGAGCTTGAGAACAGGTTAAATTGGCTTACAAATATGGTTGTTCTTGTGCAAGATCCTCTTTCTCCTTGAAACTCAGAATTTCCATATTTTATTTTTTGAACATTTCATATTTTAAACCGTAATAACCTATGTCTCATATGCCTTTTGAAATCTACATGTCTTAGAATTTCATAGGTGCTAGAAATCATAGTGCCCTATATGCCTTATCTATTTTAATTTTTAGAGTGATTCTAAGAGGTAGATGTGTGATTATACCTGTCTTGCTAATAAGGAAATTGATATCGAGACCACATGATGAGTAAAATTAGTAAGGAACAAACCTAGATGTAGCCCTAGATACATTTTGCTCCAGGTTCCTCAGCTTTAATCATCTTGTCATAATTATTATACAATGCTTTTGTTTAAGAAATTGTGTATTAATGTGCTTGGCACATTGCAGGTTCTCACACAATAAAGATTCCTTTTCCCTTGGCCTCCTAATGCCAATAGTCAACTCCAAAGCAGGAAAAGATTATTTGCCACCTAAGTTCCAGAACAGCATAAAGGAAGGGTAGGATGTAAGGCAAGAAGATAAGAGAACAACATTTCAGGCTGCAGCACTAAGATTATTCATTGTCTATAATCAAAGTGATAATAGCTCTAAGATGTTTTCAAGGTAGTGATCAAGGTGATTACTGAAAAGAAAGCACAGCAAGTTCTACTAGAAGCCTTTAAAATCTCATCTGGCTGTTCAAGGAGATCCCATGACTCTCAACTCTGTCACATTCTTCCCCACCTAATAATGAGTCTTCCCCCAGGTGAAACATAGGATATAATCACCCATACTCATGCAAGGTAGCCAAGGTCCAGTGGGCAGGGCCCTGGGAAAATGTGCCGTACTGTTCCTTATCCAGGGAACAACCTGTTACAGCTAAATTCCTATGACCATGATTACCATTTTAATATATTGCTCTCACAGCCCTCAAAGTACCTTGAGTGGGAGTAACCATTTTCCCTGTTCTTCAAATTCAGCAACATAGGCTCAAAGATGGGAAATTATTTGTCTATGGTCCAAGAGTGGATATGTGGTGGGATCATGGATGACCTCAGATACGTCTGACTCTAAAGTTATATATTTTTTCTACTATTCTACTCTGCTGAAGTAACTTGCTTCCACCCGACCACCTTCTTGTATGAGTTCATGAGTTCTCCCTACAAAGATAACCCTAAGTGTAAGAGGCAATGATGTCCTACCAATTGGGACAAGCCACCACTCAAATGTAATGACAACAGATCATAGACGTGTTTTCTAAAGGAGACAGAAGCCTGTTTCCTGGAGAAGATCTAAAATAAATAAAAATGAGATTTCAGTGCTATCCAAAGATCTTTCAGGCCTTCGAGAATCCCTCTACTTATTCAGCAAGAATTAATATAGAATCTTGTTAGGGGATGGTAGGAGAAAGAGAAGATAAAACTGTTCCTGTTCCTGAATAAAATTTCAAAGTCTAGTAGGGGAGAAGACATAAGCAGATATTCAGAGTGAAGCATGTGACATGATGACTTAAAATTCTGGATAAGTCATAATAGTGGAGCACAAATGGTGGCAGTAGTTCTACTGTGGGAAGAACAGTGTGGTTATCAAAGTCCTCCAGAAGAAAATAAAGACTTTTTTCCAGGCAGTTATAAATGGAGACAGAAGAGTATGTGCAAAAACTCAAAACTAGGAGCAATCCAGTGAGTTCAACCCAATCACAAAGAGATGTGTGTGACAGGATAGCAAGATGCCCTGTGAGAGCGCTTCGGAGGTAAAACTGGAAATGCAATCCAGGTTCTGAATGCTAAGGGTAATAAAGGCTGCATTGAGAAGTTGTCCTAGGATGCTACGGGCAAAGATGCCAGAGGGGAGGCTACTGATTAGATTTGTGCTTCAGGAAAATGATTCTGGCTATCACAGTGGATGATAGATGGGTGTGTGTGTGTGAAAAGAATGCAAAGCAATCAATGGGAAGGCTATTGCAATAATCCCAGTAGCACCTGGAGATAGAAGTCATGGCACATATTGGAGGTGGTAGAATGAACATGGATCTTCAATGGGATCAAGTAAAGAAGGAAAAGGAGTCTGTGATGACACACCTGGACTTGTGTCTACAGTGGAGAGAGCCCTTCCAACAATGTTTTCTCCAACTTTTATATCTCTATACTAAATCCCTAGGAGCTTATGGGGTCAAAGGTGAAGCTGACCCCAGAAAACATAAGCTAATCTTACATTTCCAAAATCAGAAAGATGTAGTATGACAGGAGTGGGGAGAAAGATACTGAGTAAAACAATATCATTTCATAAGTGAGCAAACTGAGATGACAAAGACAAACACAGCAACTACAAGCGTCCAGAGAGTGAAGGCAATTGTATTTCCTATTCTCCCTCTCCAACTATCAGGAAAGTGGGCCTGAGGCATGGATGACTATAATATACCCAGTCATATTCTTTTATTGGTGCAGGCAGAGCTGGTAAGGGAAACACTCTATTGCTTGGGATGAGTGCCTGTCCTAACATTCAGGCCACACTATAAAGCTCTTGATCTCTCTTTCATTATATTTAAGTTGGAAGCTATGAATGAGGATGTCCAGGGTGAGAAGAAAATTGTGTAACCTCATGATGCAGTGACAGAATGCTCTCAGTAGTCAATTTAGTCTGTCCCAGTCTTCTAATGCTTAGAAATCAAGTTTCCTATTCTCTAAAGTGAAGTTATAATACCTGCATTCTCAGGTAGTTGTAGGAAGTCTAATAAGAAAATAATTATCAAAGCATTATGTAGGATGCTTTTGTGTTACTATCTACTTCAAAACTACATAGGAAATATAGCCTTCAATCTGTAGAAAATCACATCCACAGTTGGTGTTCAGTCCTTTCATATTATAAGCCAATTGTTCTCAGAGTGTGGTCCCTGGACCAGCAGCACTAGCATCACCTGGGAACTTGTGAGCAATGCAGATTCCCAAGCTTCCTTGCAAAATAGGAAACTAAAAGTGAGCCCTAGAAATCTGTGCTTCAGCCATCTCTCCAGGTGTTTCTGATGTACATGAAGTTTGATTATAATTGCTATGGCAAGTTATGGGCCTAGAACTGTCTTCAAGGATGACATTGCTACTACCTATCATTCCTGAGTGGGTGTTTTGGACTAACCCTCACTTGTTCCTGGTCCTATCTTATTTGCATTTCTACCCTAGAATTGCTAGTGCAATTAAATTGTGGTGCTTTTCCAGACATTGTTGAATGGAGGGAGAGTGGAAAGGGGGCTATAGAGAGAAAACTGACACCATAATTATCCTCTTTGCTTTAATGAATTGGGGATCCTAGAGCAGGAGACAGAGGCTGGAATGTTCAACTGGTGACAGAAACAGGGGTAGCAGCCACCCTAGTCACTGAAGCCATCGAAGACATCAAAGCAGTATTCATCATCAAACTTCTTGTTGTTGTTGCTGTTGAATGTCTTGTAGTCTTTTTCTCCACACAGACAGAAGGATGACCAGAACGTTTAGCTGGGACACAGCATACGCTATCTTTGCCGCACATCTTCTCAGCAGGCATTGCATGCATCTCTCCAGGTTTGCACGTCTTCTTGCAAATTCCAGTTTTGTTTGCACACTTTTTCCCAACCCAATTACCTGCATAAAGGAATTATATAGATTATTAAGTCTAAGTATTTGTCACAGGAGAATAACATTGCAATCGTTTTTGAGCACTGATTATTCAAGTGTCTTTCCAGTTGCTTTGGCATATTTTTCCTATTCATAAACACCTGCTTTGAGGACTAAGTGAAATTTCATAAATATAGACACACACAGAATTCTTTAGAAATGTATGAGATTCTCATTTCTGAAATCAGAATTCTGTATACAAATACTAGGGGACTATTTCCCGTTATTTTAAATTGGAAAATATATAACATGTTATTATACATGAATACAAAATCTCCAACCAGTTTCCTAAAATGTAGCTAAAACACAAATAACACCTAAATAGAAGTGAAAACTATCATTTTAAAAATAAAAAATGCTCAAATAATTGATGTCATCTTTCTCACCATTACGGAAACACATATGGCTTTTGTCGTCAATTGGTGAGATTTTCAAAATGTCCTTACATGTTTCAGAGATCCTAAAAGTATATTTAGAAGGTAACTCTAGAGTTGTCTTATATATTACCTGGTTAAGAATGTCATGTCGAGTTATGGAAAGATAAATACGAAATTTTAATCTATATCTATATGCCCATATGATATTGAGATATAGGTACATTTTATAAAATTTTGAGAATAAAAAAGACATTCTATTAGGAATATATTCATTAGGGAGACATTCTTCAGGGTTTGCCTGTATACGTGTACATATTATATACATATGAAAATATCTCATCATGTGGTTTAACACAGAGACCCTCGCATGATGTTCGAGCTCTTTCTTACCTTGCTTAACTCATTACTCTATTTAATCAACAAGTATATAATGAGTGTTTACCATGTCAAGAATTCTGCAAGATGCAGGGAATAAAACAATGAACAGGAAGACACGATTTGATGACCTTTCATTAAAGAGAGAGCAAAAGAAAATAAGCAAGTGAATAAACAAAGTAACTACAGATTGTGATAAGTACAATAAATGAAAGAAATAATGTAAGGTAATTGACAGCAAGTGAAGAGAGCAAAGTTTTTTGAATGCTATTACCACTACTGTTATCCATTATCAGCTGTTTAATCCTCTTCTGATGATCAACTAAGTTTTTAACTACATATATATATATATATATATATATATATACGTACATTAGAATAAACACACACACACACACACACAAAGTGTAAAAAAAAAGACTACATACAAGTATGTGAAGTATGTCGATGTATGTCATTAATGTTCCAGAGACAGAAGGAGAAATGAGACAATTTAAACTCATAGAATTTCAAGGATGCAATAGGTCTGAAACATCTTTTGAGACAACAATGAGAGCATTATAATTTCCTCTTATCCACGATCAATTTGAACATTTCTGCAAATTCTAGGGAACATAAACTACTATCTCTAGAGGCAGGCTATGGAGTTTTTATATAACCCTCCACCCACTAGGAAATTATACTAAAGGTGGTTAGTTTATTTCTTTGTGCCTTATGTAAAAGGCAGGATTGAGTTCAGTGTAAAAAACAAAATCATAGGTGAATAACTCTTCTCAACATGGAGAAGGACTTTCCAAGTTAATGGAAGAATGCAAAAAAAAAAAAAAGAAAACACCAACAGATTTGACATCATGAAAATGAAAATTATGTGTCTCCATGCACAAGTATGTTCACTGTGGCACTGTTTACAATAACAAAGACCTGGAACCAACCCAAATGTCCATCAATGATAGACTGGATAAAGAAAATGTGGCACATATACACCATGGAATACAATGCAGCCATAAAATAGGATAAGTTCATGTCCTTTGCAGGAACATGGATGAATCTGGAAACCATCATTTTCAGCAAAGTGACACAAGAACAGAAAACCAAACACTGCATGGTCTCACTCATAGGTGGGTATTTAACAATGAAAACACATGGACACAGGGAGGGGAGCATCACACACTGGGGTCTGTTGGGGGGTGGGGTGCTAGGGGAGGGATAGTGGGGGCGGGGAGATTGGGGAGGGATAACATTGAGAAAATACCTAATGTAGGTGATGGGGGGACAAAGGCAGCAAACACTATGGGATGTGTATGTATACCTATGTAACAATCCTGTAAGATCTGCACATGTACCCCAGAACTTAAAGTATAATAATAAAAAAACAAAAATTATATGTCTCAAATAAATAATACATTTTAGAAGCAACCAATATATTTGGAAATATTTGCAAGAAATATGAAATACAAATGTTAAAAATACAAATATACCACTAGTAACCATTGGCAATATGTGCCAGTTAACTTAGAAGAAATAATACCCTTGGACCAAGCAATGGAACTTCTAAAATTTATCTATACAATCAGAGAATCTTACAGTGATATATTAATAAGATTGTACAATGTTATTTACAATAGTCACACGTTAGAAAAAATAATCCAAATGACACACAATTAAGGACTCTCCAAGTTAATATTGGTACAAAAATATGACAGAATCCTAAGAATCTACTGCAAATTGTGTTTTCAATGAATACTCAAAGACCTGTGAAAATTTTCCTGGTACAATCTTAGGTAAAAAAATAAAGTAGGTTATAAACTCATATACCAGTCGGTTACAAATGAAAAATGAAAGCAGTGATGAAATGCAGCCCATTTATTTCTAAATTGCTTTCAGTGTTCTTGTCTTGATTTTGTAAATACAAGCTACAGGATAAATTAAAAATAAGAAATGCTTGGACAAACAGAGCTGAAATCTGATATAGACTTCCAAAGTTCCCACACAGAATTTTTTTTTCTTTTCCATTTTACAGTCCTATACGTATTTAGAAACAGCCTTCCCTATTCTGTTAACCACATCCAAGAATAAACAAAAAATCAGAGACCTTCTCTGTAAGACCAAGAAAACTGAGTGAAGTAATATTACATAATTGTTATCTTGGAAGGGAGTATCTACGACAAAAAAAGTAAAATGAGGCAGGGCTTGACTGGACTGACCCAAAGTGACAGGACAGAAGTTTGGGATTTCAAGATCATTTCTACCTTTGGAGGCAACTTTATGGGATTGGCCTTACCCTCCTCCCCAGCTCCGATCATAGATCCTGCTCTACCTAAGAGCTTTGAAGTTTCTTAGAACAGAGGTGGTTTGAAGAAGTAGGACAAATCTCAGCCCTGGTCCCAGTGAGAAGCCAGACCCCGCTTCCACAGACCACTTAGAAACAGGGACTCCGTGTGCAGGACCCTGTTCTAGGCCAGTGTTTTTTCTTCCCCGAGATTCTATTTACCTGAGACCAATTGGGCCAGGAGCATAAAAACTGCAAGGGTGAACAGCAAGGACTTCATCAGGAGGCAGTGCATTCTATAGAGTCCAGAATTCTCTATTCAGTATGTCTCTGAACACAGATTTTTATTGTCCTTCTTAGCTGGGGTTGGGCTCAGCCAGTAAACTGGGAGGATATGGGGTATTGTGCCAACATAACTTCAATCTATTGGCCAGCAACTCTAACTGAGGCATCACTGTTCAAGAGTCCTGTGCTAGGCATGCCTTGGGGGAAGAATAAAGTCTTAGACTAGAAGTTGCAAACTCTGCTGAAGTGTATGGCAATTCAGAAAGAAAGGATTACAGAAAGAATTTATGCTGCTCTACCACGGCTGGGTACTCATAGCTGTTTTTTGGTTTTTTTTTTTTCCCCCACAACCTCCTGTGTTAGTTCTATCAGGGTTCCTCTTACTGCATGTAGCAGTTTGTTCATCTCTCTGTCTCTCCACCTAAAATACAATGTCTTTCTGAACACTTATGACATATTATTCATATATATATAATACATAAAATTCTTTTCTTTTCTACATTATTCTTTTCAGAGAAGAATATAAGCAATTGTTTTTTAACTGACCAAATTAATACTTTGTTGATGATCTGGAAATTTAGAAAGTCATTTTATAAAGAAATAAATAAGTGCTCAAAGATAAATGCACAAAGAAGTCTTTAGATCTACATCTTAGTTCATCTACAGCGTAGCATAAAATAAAGTACATCCATATGATTTAATTCTGTGCTTCTGTTAAAAAGAGGGCAGCAGATTTTATTTTACTAAACATTTTTTGAGTGAAAAAGCAACATTTTAGAACAACATGCATAGTAATAATTCTAATTTATGTGAAAAAGTTGTGTCTGTGTATATAAGTAAATGCATGAACTAAAAATGCAAGTCACATGTCATTCTAATAAAAGTAGTTTTCTCTGGATGGGACTGAGTTTAAGTTGGCATCCAAAGAAAATTTTATTTGTGTTAAAGATTTTTTTTGAGTCCCTGACTATGTTGTGACTGGAAGCTATAAGGTCCTAGAGGTTTTGTTCTCTGTGAGTTTTAATTTTTTTATTTCCAAATTATTGAGATGTAATTGTTGTACATTGAACTGCATTATTTAGAATGTATAATTTGATGAAGTTGGCAAATGATGCACTAGTGAAACCATTACCATAATCAGCATAATGTATATACCCTTCACTCTCAAAATGTTTCTCATACCTCTTTGGTATCTACTGTTTCCTCTTCCCTTCTTTCCCTCTACCTCCATGATACCCAGGCAATGACTGACTTACTCTTTGTTCTCAGTTTAGCAGGATATAACATTTGTGTTTGACAGCTTTTTTTTCTTTAAGAAGCCCCAAAATTGGGCCCAATCTCTTCTGGCTTGTAAGGTTTCTGCTGAGAAGTCCACTGTTACTCGGATAGAATTTCCTTTATAGATGACTATATGTTTTTCTCTTGCTGATTTTTGATTTTTTTCATTCATGTTGACTTTAGATAGTCTGATGACTATATTTCTTAATGAAATCTGTCTTGCAAATGTATCATCTTGGCGTTCCTTGAGGCTCTTGTATTTACATGTCTAAATCTCTAGCAAAACTAAAGAAGTTTTCCCCAATTACTTCCTGAAACAGTTTTTCCAAACTCTCAGTTTTTCTCTTCCCTCTGAGAACCTGTGACTCATAGGTTCAGTTACTTTACTTATGAGTACTTCACATAATCTTACATAATCTCATACTTCTTGAAGGCTCTGTTCATTTTTTAAATTCTTTTTTCTTTATTTTTGTCTGACTGGGTTAATTCAAAAGAGACTTGTCTTCAAGTTCTTAAACCCTTTCTTCTGCTTGGTTTAGTCTATTGTTAGAGCTTTCAACTATATTTTGTAATTCCTTAAATGAATTTTTCATTTATGGAAGTTCATTTAAAAAAACCTATTTAGGCTGGGCACAGTGGCTCACAACTGTAATCCCAGCATTTTGGGAGGCCAAGGTGGGCAGATCACTTGAGGTTCAGGAGTTTGAAACCAGCCTGGCCAACATGATGAAATCTTGTCTCTACCAAAAATACAAAAAAATTATCTGGACATAGTGGCACACATCTGTGGTTCCAGCTTCTCAGTAGGCTGAGGCAGGAGAATCACCTGAACCCCAAAGAGGGAGGTTGCAGAAAGCCGAGATCGCACCACTGCACTCTGGCCTGGGCAACAGAGCGAGACCCAATCTTAAAAATATAAATAAATAAATAAATAAATAAACAAACAAACAAACAACAGAGAAAACTATTTTTAAAAAATCTATCTCTTTAGTAGATTTTTCATTTATATTCTGAATTTTATTTCTGATTTGTATCGATTTTTTACTATCTCTTGGACCTCACTGAATATATGCTTGATCTTTGATAAAAATCAATATTTTGAATTCTTTGTTTGGTATTTCAAAGATTTCATTTTGGTTAGGGTTCATTGTGAAAGAGTTAGTGCAATCCTTTGGGGTGTTGTAACACTGTTTTTTCATACTTCCAGAATTATTTCTTGGGTTCCTTCTCATTTGGATCAACTACCTGTTCTTATTTTTTAATTTACTTTCATTTGGTCAGGACTTTTTCCCCCTTGAGGATGTGATTATAATATATATATTGTGTAGGGTCATTTGGCTTTGGTTCTGGGTGCTTTCAGTGGCAAAGACTCTGTATGAGTTTCTTGATTATAGATAGCCTTTGTGTGGTGGCTTTCTCAAATGCTGGTTGTAGTAGTGATGTACTGGACTAGGCTCACTGCCTCCTACAGAGCCAGAGTGCAGAAGTCTCAGGAAGCTTAACTTGTTTTCCTGTGCTGTGCACTTGTGTTAGCCAATTTTTTATTGGGTTGTGCATTTAGATCTCCAGCCCAGTACGTGTTGCTTATGAATAAAATCTGGGCAGAAGCAGGTGGATATATGCTTGATCTTTGTTTACTGGGAGAAGCTCTCTGTTGCCTCAGGCAATGGGCAGATCTATGGAATACACACTGGCCTGAGCTCCCTGCTCAGCCCCTAAGGGGCGGATAAAGCTGAGTGGAGCTGAACTGTCAAACCTGCCTTCAAATAGCTCATTGGCAGGCACAAGCACCAGCCCTTGCAGTGACAGGGAGAATGGCATGTACTCTATATGAATTCCTTGGTTATAAATAGTCTTCATGTGGTGACTTTCTCAAATGCCAGTTGTAGTAGTGATGTACTAAGCATGTGATGAAGCTCACAGTCTCCTGCAGATCTTGGGAAGAGGTCTTAAGAAGCTTATCTTATTCTCAAGCACTGTGGACTCATGTCAACACATCTTCTATTGGGTTGTGCAGTTTGACCTCCAGGCCAGTAGGTGACACTTGCAGCAAGAGCTGAATATGGTGGTAGCAGAGAGTTTATATTTTATCTTTGTTTACTAGGAGAGACACTGTTGTCTCAGGAAATGGTCTGTCTGTGGAATGCATAGCGGCATGGGCTCCATTCTCAGCCCCCAACTGAGGGCAAAGTTAGGCACAGCTGGACAAGGCAGGCCTGCCCTCAGGTTTCCCAATGGCAAGCACAATCATTAGTCCTGATGGGAGTGTGGAGGAATTATGTAGACTTTTTATGATTTCCTTGTTACAAATAGCTTTACTGTAGTGGCTCTCTCAAATGCCAGCTGCAGTAGTAATGTACTGAACAGCTGAGTGGGCTCAGGTATCTTGGATAGCTGGGGCATTGTGGGGAATGGTGGCAGCTGAGGTCATGGAAGCTTGTATCCTACCTGAACATACTGCAATTGTCTCTTGCTCACTTTTGGTTTCTGTGTCATGAAATATCTTTTTCTATCACTTTATTATCAGTCTATGTATCTTAACAGGTGAAGTGAGATTCTTGTAGGCATTATATTTTGGGTCACTTTTTAAAAAAATTCATTCAGTCAGGTCTATATGTTTTCACTGGAATATTTAATCCACTTACAGTCAAACTTACTATTTATATATGAGGACTTTTTCTTGTCATTTTGGTAATTAGTTTTTGGTTGTTTTACATACCTTTTTTTTTCTCTCTTTTATTATTTATAATTATGGTTTAGCGTTTTTCTGTAGTGGTAACATTTGAGTCTTTTCCTCATTTGTGTGTTTGCTCTAACAATGGGTTATACTTTTCTGTGTTAAACAAAATCAGAAAAGAAAAAAGGAGACATCACAAATGATACCACAGAATACAAAAGATCATCAGAGATTATTATAAACAATAATACACTAACAGACAGGAAAATCTAGGAGAGAAGGTAAATTCCTGGACACATACCAGCCACCAAGATCAAATCTGGAAGAAACAGAAATTCTGAACAGACCAATAATGTGCAATAAGATTGAATTAGTAATAAAAAATCTCTGAATAAATGCCCAGGATCAGATGGATTCACTGATGTACCAAGTTCTACCAAATGTATAAATAGTTAACATGAATCCTTCTCAAACTATTCCAAAAAATTGAAGAAGAGGGAATTCTCCCTATAGCATTCTATGAGAATTACTCAGATACCAAAGCCTGACAAGAACACAACAAAATGAAAGGAGCTACAGGCCAAAATCCCTGATGAACATAGATGCAGAAATCCTAAACAAAATGCTAACAAGTTAAATCCAACAGCACATCAAAAAGATAATATATGATAATCAAGTGGAATTTATCCCAGAGAAGCAAAAATGGTTCAGCATATGCCAATTGATAAACATGATACATCAACAAAATGAAGGACGTAAACAATATGATCATCTGAATAGATGCAGGAAAAGGCATTTGATAAAACTCAACATCACTTCATGGTAAATTTCAACAAACTAGGCAAAGAAAGAACATACCTCAACATAATAAAGGTCATATATGACCAACACACAGCTAACATCATATTGAATGGGGAAAGGTGATAAGCCTTTCCTTTAAGAACTGGAATAAGACAAGATGCCCACTTTCATCATTCCCATTCAACATAGTACTGGAAGTCCTAGCCAGAGCAATTACTCCAAAGAAGAAATAAATAGTA